CTATACCGTACTATAATCGCAAGCATAACTGATACTTAGCAAGCATTAACCTTCAGATATAAACTAAGAATGAATATTTCGTTGCGGTAAAATGAGTTGAGGATTAAAAATGAAACAAAAGAAAAAATAAAAGAAATAGAAGAAGATAATAATAGTAATAATAAAAATAAAAGAAAAAATAATAATAATGACAATAATAATAATAATAATAATAATAATAATAATAATAATAATAATAATAATAATAATAATAATAATAGTAATAATAATAATAAAGATAAAAAAGAAAAAAAATATAATGATATACGAATGCATGACCTTATAAAGGGTTTTTGAAGAATGAAAGAAAAATAATAAGAAAGATAGATGAAAGAAAGGAACACGATCGAGTATAGAGAGTAGTATAAAATCGAATTTAAATTCACATAGTGAAGGGTACGATTATCGTCCCTTACTCGTCTTATCTAGTACGTAGGAGTACATATATATATATATATATATATATATATATATATATATATATATATATACATACATACATAAAAGAACGACGAGGGTCGAAGGTTCGCCGCGTTCTTCAGCGATATGCACGCCGGCATCCACCTTCGGGTGCGTTAAAGTGATATAGGGCCGTGGCCACGGTATCGGCGGCGTTCAGTGGCCGGCATTAAATTAGCTAACGAACGAGTTTGCCATGGCTATGCTTCTAGCTTAATAAAAGAATATACCGCGCGCGTCCGTTCTTTCTCCATCCTTCTCTTTCTCTCTCTCTCTCTTTCTCTTTCTCTCTCTCTCTGTCTTTCTCTTTCTTTCTAGCTAACTCTTATACACGCCGACGCGCTAAGAGAGGGAGAGGGAGAGAGAGAAAGAAAGAAGGAGAGAAAAAGAGAAGGAGAGAAAGAGAGAAAGAGAGAAAGAGAGAAAGAGAGAAAGAGAGAAAGAGAGAAAGAGAGAAAGAGCGGGTCTCCGGGTCGGCGATGATGCCCTCTCCGCCTCGGTCCCGTGGCGGTGCACAATCAACGGAGCGTGCTCGTAATGACCATTACCGTCCGACTCGCTACCTTCGACTACCTTCGCCCACCACCCGGTAAATGGCTCGTGTCTGCTAACTTCTCTCTCGCCCGTAACTTCCCCGGTACGGTTACTACCAGGGACGGATACTGTTATCGCCTTTTCTATTATAAAAGGATATTGGCGAAAGCTAGGTAAAGCATTCCTGTCACGAAAATGAATTTTCTATTATTCAATTCTTTTTCTTTCGTTTCTTTTTTCTTGTTTTGTTTTCTTTTCCTTTCTTCTTCTTCTTCTTTTTTCTTTTTTTTTTTCTTTTCTTTTCGTTAAATACTACAAGCGAAATCAATTTTCTTTCCAAAATTAATTCCAAAGCGTAACACCGCATAGTCCTTCTTTCATTTTTGATAACATTTGGATTAAGTTTCTAAACGTCATAGAGTTGATATCGTAGAAAATTCATCGTAGTCCTTCTTTTATCTTTAATAACATTTGGATTAAGATAGTTTTAATAATATTTATAATTTTCCATTATGAAATAAATATTTCTTGATGTATTTATGAAGAATCGTCTTTTATGATAAATTATCAACGATAGGATGCATCTCTCTCTCTCTCTCTCTCTCTCTCTCTCTCTCTCTCTCCTCTCTCTTCTATGAAGGCGTTCCTATCGGTGAAGTTTCGCAACGGTGGTCGTTGTCTGCCCATTACGACGCACGCCCGCGCACGTACGTATAATGGCAATCATGTTAATTATTGTAAGTAGAGCCGTGCGCCGGCACCGACGCCGACAACGTGCTTCGTAGTGGTAACGGCGTGTGCCACCATTACGGTGAGCGCTTTACCGTGAACGCACGCTATTCATTCGGTTGCCTACGCTCTCAAAGAAGAAGAAGAAGAAGAAGAAGAAGAAGGAAGAGGTGGAGAAGGAGAAGGAGGAGGAGGAGGAGGAGGAGGAGGAGGAAGGACGGATAGAAGGAAGGAAGGAAGGAAGGTCGGTCGAACCAGAAATACACTAGACTCCACTCCCCACCTTCCTTTCATCTTGGTTTCCTGCTTACAATAATTAGGGCTTACCTCGAATGCAGTCACCAAATCGGTGGCACGAATTCCCTCTGTTTCTCTCTCTCTAGTCAGACAGACGTCTAACTATTTCGAATCGCACAATGTTTCCTTTTAATAAGATATCTAATTAAACCGCGTAAAAAAAAAAAAAGAAGAAAAAAGAAAAAGAGAAGAGAGAGGGGGAGAGAGAGGTGTGGAAGAAGGGAGAAGGGGGAGAAAGAAAAAAACCAAGATGGATGTTAATTGAGCTTAGAGTGGACACTGTAACGCTCCGTGGGATCTTCTCGAATCGTATTACATAAAAGTAACGAGCGTACAAAGTGGCTCTCCTACTGGGCTTAAGGTCTGGAACGGTAAGGATCTTTTTACATTTTTATTCTACCTTATTCTTCTCTCTATTCGAGTGTATGCATAAGGTCTGATC